CCCCCCCCCCCCATCTATCTCCCTTAGGCAAATTAAGACTGAATAAATTAGACATAAATTCTAAATTGAATTAGATTAAAAGCTAGATTTTAGTATAAGGACAAATATTAAATAAAAGACAATCCAAAAATTAAGAATATAAAATCAATCAGTACCTTGTTAATTGGTCAATTATTTACTTGTTTAAATGTCAAAATAAACCAAAATTTGCAGCGTTCCACGCAAAAGTTTGTGGAATATGCAAAAAAAATCTTATTTTTGTGCAAAAGTTTGCTTCTGCTGGAACCCTACCCCGGAAATAAACTAAAATATGCATTTTTGGGGAAATTTAAGAACAACATTTTAACCGGAATAGCTGGGTAATTTTTTTAAAGTTTTAAACACTAATGATAATTAATAAGTGTATGCTATGTTATTTAAAGGGAAAATGCAAAAAAAGATGCGAAAAATTTTTACCCCAAATAACTTGTGGAATTCCCTGCTCTGAGAGCTCAACATTAGAAGTTTTATTAAATCATAATTATTAATTTCTCTTCCGTATTTTTTTGCAAAACTTTCGCATTTTCTTCCCCCAAAGTTTTCACATTTGTTTTTTCGCGAAATTTTTGTACTTCTTTTTTTCCGGGAAAATTTCGCATTTTTGGCGAAACAGATGGGAAAATTTTCGCGAAAATATTTACCCTTTTCGCTGGAAACCCTAAGTCAAACACAAAAGTTCAATGAATCCCCTGTTTCAAACTAAGTTTTCAACCAAAAGTCTTCAACACCCTAACTCATAATGTAAATAGTGTATCTGGTGCAAATGTTTCTTGTATGCCCATTGCCCAACCATCATCCTGATGTTCATGACATCAAAATTTTTAACCCGTCTGACTTTTGTGCTTACACTGTACATTATTGCATAATCGCACAATAACAAAACCTCACTGTACACTTTATCACAAACTTATAGATAATAATAAAGATGAAGTTTATTATTCACATCCTAGATTTTTGTATTTTGCAAGCCATGTGTTTTTTTCTGGAAAGTTTAATATTTCTAAGCTGTGTACAGCATAAAAAATTTAACTGGAAGTCTCAGATCAAAAGAAAGTTGAAAAGTTAATTTATAAGTTTCTTAAATTTTCCCACTCATCCTTTTCTTTTAGAATCCTAGAGAGTCCAGGGGAAAAGCTGGAGGACAGGAGGAGGATAGCGAATAAGGACAAAGTGAGGACGGAGAAGGAGGACAGGGGTTGGATGGAGAATGAAAACAGAGGGAGCACGGAGAAGGAAGACAGAGGACGGACGGAGAAGGAAGACGGAGGGAGCAATGAGAAGGAAGACACAGGGAGGATGGAGAAGGAGGCCAAGGGGAGAATGGAGAAGCAGGCGGAGAGGCTTATAAAAGAGGACGGAAGAAAACAGAGAAGAGAAGTGGAGAGGGGAGTACAAATTCCAGAGACAGAGGAGTTAAAAATAACTGTCAACCATCACAGACAATCGGAGAAGGACGGCCTGGAGGGGAGGGAGGAGAAAAAGGAGAGTGAGAAAAGGGAGGAGGCTAAGAGGAAAAGGGAGAAAAGAAAATTACGCCCTAATGGAAACCAAGTTAATTTAAACCAGAAAATGAATTCAAGAGACAGAATTTCACCTGTTAGAGTAAGTTCAAATGTCTTTTGTTAAAAGTTCTTCTTTAGAAAAGTAAAAAATTAAACTGCTTTTTTCCATCACTGAATTCAATTGCAAAACATTGATTTATTAATTGATTATTTTTCAGATGAGTAGCTCCAGTAATAGCAATCTGCTTAAGCTCTTAGAACAAGAACTAGAAGCTGATTCACCTAGACGAGAGCAGTTCTTCTAGATGAACTAATTAGCTAAAACTAGTACTTTTACAACTTGACCTTAAAAATGCTTGCAAATCACAATTTGCATCTTGATGTTATTATACCTCTTTCAATTAAGGTGATTAACAGACTTCGCAACCTTTTCCGTGTCATTTTTATTGGTCAAATTTAAAAAAAGCATCTTGTTTTTTAGTTTCATCACCAACCTATTATCAAATTATGTACTATGTGTAAAGGGTACAAAACACAATGTAAAGTTATTTTCTAAATTACGTCCTAAATTCTCACGGAAATTAAGCATGGAAGACCACATTTTAAAAGCAAACTGAGCAACAAATCAGTTTGTAACTTTGCACAAATTTTAGAATAATGACATGATTTTTGGACGTAATCTGCCTTCAAGATGTCAAGATGTAACCCACCTCGCTAATCCTAATTAAACTTGTCAGTGTCTTAATAAATATTTATACATATACAAGAGTAAATATATGAAATGATCAAATCTGTAAAATATCTAAAAGAAAAAAAAGTTATTTTTAACCTTAATAAAAAAATGTATGTTGTTGCTAAAACCTTAAACTGAAACCAACATTGAGTACCCTGTAAAATGTTTTTTTAGAAAATCTACATGTATACTGGTGCAAATCTGTAATGGATATTGACGATTTAAAATATGTTGAATTTGTGTATAGTGCGTAGTGTTTATTTTTATCAGATTCTAAAAGAGCTTCTAAACTTTGTTGTACTACGTAAAAGATCACAGCTTTTTTTAACTTATTCACATAATTTTTAAATGAGGTTATGACTCTTAAATGACTTTTTGCTGTGGAGTAAACTAAAGCCATTTTTAGAAGCCCGGCATTTTTCAGAACATCTTTAAGTTGAAAAGTAAACCAAAGAAGTGAATAAGAAAGTAAATTATAATGCTGCAAGCACAATGTGCGGCTGAACACTGGATATTTCAGAACACTAGAATACCATGATCTTGAAAGAAATTTAAATTTGCATGTTCTGAGACGTCTAGTCTTAATTGAACCCATTTTGGTCTGAAATGTTTATAAACCTGCTTTCTACAATTGTGATAAATCATCTTAAAACTATATCATACTTCCCATTCATGCATATTTATATAATCATAATGTTCCCTTCAATGTCATGCCTACAGTATTACATAACCTTTGAAAAACATTAAATCAAGAAACAAAGTAAAAACTCATGGAAACAATGATCTGAATATTTCCTTTTCCGGTTGGGCTATTTTAATTTTTAGTCTAATATAGGTTAGGGAGGTTGCTGTTTCCATACCACTTTCACCATCAAAAATTATAAGATATTTTATAAAAATCTGTTTGCTAATAGAAAGTAAGAATGGTAAAGAGCATTCAAGTGAAAGCCGTTTTTAGGAAATAACCAAAGGGAGTGGGTGTAACCCCTCCCCCCCCCCTCCCAAATCGGGATAGAATTTTTTACTTTGAATATATATATAGGCTTCACAAGTATTTGAGCCGTTTTTAACTATTACATTTTTATCAATCCATAAGATTTAAAACCAAACAAAAAATGAAATAATTGATCAATAGATTTTATAGAATATTTTGTGAAATGGTTTGACCGATTAAAAAAGTTGTCTAATGTAATTTTAAAAAATTTATTAAATTTTTAAATTTTTAAATTCGAAATCTTAAATTCTTTTGGAGCAGCTTAAAAGCAAACAAATCTAGATTGTTAAAAAAGGTCAAAAACGATAAAAAAAAACTATACAAAAACGATACAAAACCGTTACAAAACCGACACAAAAATGACACCAAAACAATACAAAACAATACAAAAACGATACAAAAACGATATAAAAACGATTAAAAAATAATACAAAAACGATTCAAAAATGATACAAAAACGAAACAAAAACGATTCAAAAACGATACAGAAAGTATACAAAACAATACAAAAACGATACAAAAAACAATATAAAAACGATATAAAAACCATATAAAAACAATAATATTATATCTTCTAAAATACGCTACAGATTGTTAATGTGAAGACATGTACTATCATTTTAAAAAATATGTTAAAACTTGAAAAATTATAAATAAATCTTGTCATTACTATAATCACTTCGCTAAATTTTTTTTAAAAATTTCTAAACTTTTTCTTTTTGTATTTTAAATTTACAATTGTCCGAACCTGTTACTGATAGATAACAGCTTTCACTGAAAACTCTGGCTCGTTTGAAGTACTGTATTGACTAATAGGTAGGGTTTCCAATCGGAATTCTGTTGCGCGGAATTGCGCACAATGATTACTTCCACTTGCGCCATTTCATTGCGTGGAATAACGCTATAATTGTGAACAAGGAAGGAATTAAATATTCACGGAATTGCGCAGAATTATGTGGAATTGCGCGAAATTTCATGAAACGGAATTGCTTATCAAAGGCTTTTTAATTTAGAAATCATTAATTTTGAACTGTGACTTAAAAATTTCTACAGCATGATACAAGAATGGAAATTGATAGAGGATAGAGGATAGAGGATAGAGGATAACTCTGTCGATTTCAAAATAATCCAGGGTCACATGAAATTTTAAAATATTTTAATTTTAAAGTTTCTTGTGATTAAGCTACTAATTTACAATTTGACATGTTTCATTTTTTTTGGTTAAAACTGTAAGATTCATTTTATTTTGCTACAGTGAAAACCAGAAAACTACAGTATTGTAAAATTCGATTACTTTGCTACAGTGAGAACAAGAAAACAACAGTATTGTAAAATTCGATTAATTTTGCTACAGTGAGAACCAAAAAACTATTCTATTATTATTATTAGATGTTGTTTCAAAGCAAAAAATTGTAATTAGTAACTTATTAAATTGCTTGTTCAGTTAAAGCAGACCAAGGGAGGGGGGTCTTGTGGTTATGAACCCTGCTATATCCTGTTCGAACCCAGGTAGTTAGCAGAACCTTGTTCGAACCCCTAGGGACCCTTTTGAAAGCATTGATTTTTATCTTAAAGCTAAGAGTATTATGTTACCTATTCCCGCCTGTTTAAATTTTTGAATTTTTTCTTTTTAAAGTCAATTATCATTAAAAGATTATTTTTTGAACAGTCTGTGGAGGGGTTCAAACATGGTTCCGATGGGTTTGAACAGGGTTCCGATGGGTTCGAACAGGGTTTTGCTAACTACCTATGTTCGAACAGGATATTGCGGGGTTCATAACCGTATGCCCCCCCCCACCCTCCTTCACAGACCCAGAGTTTAAGAGTCTTCCTCGAATGGCAGAGTTTTCTGATTATCATGCTTTATACAGGGTGTCCCAATAAACATGGGAATTCAGTGACGAATTCGATATCGTCTTTTTAAATAATTCTTTGATTTAGTATAGTGATACCTTCTAAGAAAGCTGTAATCTGTAAGAGTTTCGTCTGCTATGTTCACAATTTGTTTGTTTATGTTTTGACTGCGTACGGTTTGACTTAGTAAAACAAGAAAATTGCAGTATACAAACAGAGTAAACTTGTCCGTCTTCGCTGTTCATCTTGTGGAGACATTATAGACACATCTTTACAGTCTTTTTCCCTTTTCATAAGATAAACTCTAGCAGACATAATAATATTAGGGCTTTAGAATTAGGTATTACAATGCTAATTAATAATAAAGACGATATCGAATTCGTCTCTGAATTCCCATGTTTTTTGGGACACCCTGTATGAAAATTATAAAATAAGAATTAAGTTTACATTCAAATGTTTAGTATTTAAGTTTATTATATGCCACTATCAAAGTTTAAATTGATATTTTTTAACTCAATGCTGTTGAACGGAATTGCGCAATAAGTCATTAGATTTAAATTGAATATTCTCAAAAAAAACTGAAACGCAAACGAAAGAAATTTGGACGAAATTGCGCGTAATTCCAACTTTTACAGAATTGCGTACAATTAAATTCACTTGCGCGCAAGGGATCGCATTTGAGCGCTAGTAAATTCAACTTGCGTTGGAAACCATGCCAATAGGCTGTGTAAGCAAATAGTGCAGAATATATGTACAAAATATAAATGGCAAAACGGAATTCATGCTTTTCTAAAGAGATTCATGTGAACGCGATCGGTTGTTAACAATGGTGGATTTTTTGTAAATTAATAAGAATAATTCTGAGATGGAATTTAAAGAATTTGAGCCGCGGTTTAAATCCACCAAAATCTTGAAACATTTGATACAATTTTAAGTGAAACCAACCATATTTAAACCGCGGCTTAAATTTAAACCGCCGCTCAAATTCTTTAAATTCGGCCACTGACTTTCTTGAGAACTTAAAGTACAGTACATCCCACTCTACAAATTAAGCTGACAGCTATTTCAGTGTAAATTTTTTTTTGCTAATATATGATTATCGTTTGCTCGAGAAAAGAATATTCGTTAAATTTTGATCGTTACTATTTCCTAAAGAACCGTTTTAGCTGAGCTTATTAATTTCCGTACTATTGTTTACAGAATACATGGTTATTTAATTTTTACAGATAAGTCCACAAAATCTTTTGAAAGGATTTGGCCAAAATATTGAAAATGCATTTGGATTTTAATTCTAATATTTTTGAAGTGGACAGCATTTGCCGAAAGATTGAAAAAATATTGGAAAAATTTTTCTTAACTTTTATCATAAAATTTTTCAAATCTGATTTCTTCTTACACAAAGTTAATAAAAAACGCCTGAAATGTATTTTTTTATGAAATAAATTATATAGTGTAAACCACGAAACTGTGGAATAGTAAGACGACATTTAAACAATTTTAAGTTGCAATTGCACGACACAATGCAGGTGTTTTAATTTAAAGTCGAAAAATCTGTCTTTCTATTCCAAAGTTAATTGGGTCCCATAGNGCCCCAACAGCAACAACTTTTTTAGAGTTACCAGAATGAAGAGAGTGTGTATTTTATGTGATGTATGTTTCCTCTATTTGATGTGTATACTCTATACGCTAAAAAGAATTGACTCTTTACCACAAACTCTAATTATCTAATTCGAATATCTTGAAAACCTGATGATGCAAACCCTTAATATTTCAAAATTAAATTATCATCTGGCAGAGTTTATAGTTATTGAGATATTTAATCACTGTGACATAAGAGTTGCAAAGATTAATGAATTAGAAAATCAGAGTTTGTGGCAGAGACTCAATTCCTTTCAATCTTATTTGAAACCCTGAATTCGAATCTCCCTTTGTTCAATTCAAATCCTTTTACGTAGAAACCTTAGGTTTAGTCAACTTTAATGCAAACATATATATACATTTACAGGTTGAATATATACACATTACATGTTTAATGGATCAATTTATATACATTTACAGGGTGAATATTTACACATTACACATTTAAAGGGTAAATTTATATACATTTACAGGGTGAATATTTACACATTACATGTTTAAAGGGTGAATTTATATACATTTACAGGGTGAATATATACACATTTTTATATACATTTACAGGGTGAATATTTACACATTACACATTTAAAGGGTAAATTTATATACATTTACAGGGTGAATATTTACACATTACATGTTTAAAGGGTGAATTTATATACATTTACAGGGTGAATATATACACATTACACCTTTAAATGGTGAATTTATATACATTTACAGGGTGAATATTTACACATTACACATTTAAAGGATGAATTTACCCGACTAATACATTTACAGGGTGAATATATACACATTACACGTTTAAAGGGTGAATTTATATACATTTACAGGGTGAATATTTACACATAAAACTTTTAAGGGTGAATTTATATAAATTTACAGGGTATATATATATATACTCATAAAACGTTTAAAGGGTAAATTTATATACATTTACAGGGTGAATATATACACATTACACGTTTAACGGGTGAATTTATATGCATTTACAGGGTGAATATATACACATTTGCAGGGTGAATTTATATTCATTTACAGGGTGAATATATAATACAAATTTGCAGGGTGAATTTATATTCATTTACAGGGTGAATTTATACACATTAAACGTTTAAAGGGCGAATTTATATACATTTACAGGGTGAATATTTACACATAAAACTTTTAAAGGGTGAATTTATATAAATTTACAGGGTAAAGATATACACATAAAACGTTTAAAGGGTAAATTTATATACATTTACAGGGTGAATATATACACATTACACGTTTAGCGGGTGAATTTATATACATTTACAGGGTGAATATATACACATTACGCGTTTAAAGGGTGAATTTAAATACATTTACAGGGTAAATAAATACACATTACACATTTAAAGGGTTAATTTATATACATTTACAGGGTGAATATATACACATTTGCAGGGTGAATTTATATTCATTTACAGGGTGAAATATAATACAAATTTGCAGGGTGAATTTATATTCATTTACAGGGTGAATATATACACATTAAACGTTTAAAGGGAAATTTATATACATTTACAGGGTGAATATATTCACATTTGCAGGGTGAATATATACACATTACACGTTTAAAGGGTAAATTTATATACCTTTACAGGGTGAATATATACACATTACATGTTTAAAGGGTAAATTTATATACATTTACATGGTGAATATATTTACATTTGCAGGGTGAATTTATATACATTTACAGGGTGAATATATTCACATTTGCAGGGTGAATTTATATACATTTACAGGGTGAATATATTCACATTTGAAGGGTGAATTTATATTCATTTACAGGGTGAATATATTCACATTTGCAGGGTGAATTTATACACATTTAGATTCGA